TCAGTTTTGATTTATCAAAGTCAGGACTTGAGTTAATAATGAAATCTGATAAGAACTTAGGTTTTTCACTTGCCATTTTGTTAAGAATATAACTGAAAAAGAATTTAACAGATGGTCTGTTGTTATTTTTATTATTGTTAGATTTATTGAAGATAACTTGTACAGAAATAAACTCTTTGAGGTTAAATTTCAGGAGGTTGAATAGTTATAATGCCATTGGAGTGTTAAGTTTATTATGTTGTTGCATATTTGAAGTAATAGGATAGTTTTTGAACTAGTCAAAGTCTTTAGAAGTATCATATTTTGGGGTATTTGCTTTTTGTTTGAGTTGTTTGCTATTGTCTGTATTCAGTTTGTTGTTGTTTAAAATTTCTTTGATATTAGAGTGTTGTCTGGTTGTTTGTCAGTATTTTTAGTCTTTTTGAAAAGTTTATCTAAAAATTTTTTAAAGAAAATATATTTGTTTTCTGCAGATAATTGTATATATTTGATTTTGCAATAGAGGCCACATTGCTCCTAGTTCATAAGGCTTACAAATTTGATAAGCTTTAGTTTGAGTTTGTGAATACATTGAGAGTGAGTGGGGAAGCCACCAATTTCAGTTTTAAATACAAGTCTTTTGGGTCTAATGAATATTTGTTATCAGTTAGCATAATGCAAGATACATCTTTGGTTTTGCAAATAATGCATGTATGTGCATGGTGAGAGTAGGCTGTTAAAGAGATTTGATTATTGGTATCTTGTCTAATATTGTAATAACAGTTAGAAAATGGATTAGCAATTTTGTGTTTAGGCAGAAAGGATAACTTTAGCACATTATTAAAAGATTTGTAGAGTTTGACATCTAGATCAATTTCTATTGAATTAGACTCAATTTCAGATGTAGAGGTAGTGTTAGAGATAGGTGTTAGAAATAAATACTGTGAAGCAAAATATGTGTGGTATTTTCCACAAAAGCATTTTGTGATAATAGGTTGACTAGGGCTGGAGAAGAAGTAGTAACCATTGTTGGTATCACATTGTGTAGAATTGAAGTTAACTGGAAGGACTTTAAAACTTTTACAGTTTTTGTCCAAGGTAGCTAAGGTTTGACCACTATATTTGTTTTGAAGAGTATCTAGGTCGAAGAAGTCTGGTTCAATAGTGATGATGCTAGATATTTTGTGTGACTATCCTAGCATAGTGGTTGTGTTACTAAAAAATAATTTTCAACTCAAATTAAATAATCTGATTTTCAGATAAAATTTTCTAATTTAAGGGCTTTGTAGATAAGTTAGAAAGGATCTGAGAAATGTGGAACTATTAGAAAGACTAATTGGATGTTTAGAAAATTTTAATGGATGTTAGAAAAGTCAATTTTCCAAGGCAACCCAATGAATTTTCCTAAATTTACTAGTAAAATAACCTGCAAAAGCAGATTTTAGTTTAGTCTTTTTTCAATATCTTAGTGCATTTTGGTTTGTTTGCTATAAAATATATATCATTATGATCAAAATAAGGTGCTTGTTACTTTTTTAATAAGTAACAAGGTGGAATTAATTAGTAAAATATTTAGTAAATAAACAAAAACCAAAACTTTAGTTTTGAAACTTTTCTCAATGGTTAAATATTTCAAAAGCCTGAAACCTGGCCATCTAAGAGGAGAAAAGTGAGCTGAGCAACTTTACTTAGAGGTGCAAATAAGGTTTATTTAATAAAATATTGAGAAATAATTAAATGTTTTTAGTAAAAATTTGGTACAAGTGATCTACAAAGAGAGTTACAGAATTGGTCAAAGATAAAATATATAGAATTAAATATTTTAAATATAATATTAGAAATTATTAGTTTTTATAAAATTAGATAAAAAATAATTATTATAACAACTGATAATAGATCTAATATAATTATATTTGCTACTTATTTAGAATAAAGTTTTAAAAAAAGATTAATAATACTGATTTTAAATATTATTGTTTTGTTGCTTATACTTTAAATCTAATTATTACAAACAAATTAAATCTTGTTAATGCTTTTATTATAAAAACAAGATTTTACATCTATTATATATAATTTACAATTAATTTTTAGAAAATTAAAAGATATATTTAAAATAAAAAATAAAAAATTTATTATACCTAAACTAAATATTTTAATCTGTTAAAACAATATCTTTTTAATAATTGAAAAATTAAAAAAATTAAAAATATAATAGATATTCTTGTTACATTAAATAATTCTTTAAAAAAAATTATTTAACTGAATCAGAATAATCAAAAATTAATATATAGTTATTATTTTTTTAAGATATGAATTTGTACTTTTGGTTCCAATTTATTTCACTAAAAATTAGTTTACTAACATTACAATTCACTAATAATCAATTTACTAACAAGTTTATTTTACTAACAATACGATTTGCTAACAGTATGATTCACCAACAAGTTTTTTTTATAAATTATACTAACCTTAACTTGACTCTAACAGCAATGTTCAGAATTACTTTGTTAGTCAAATTACTGTCAGTAAATCATATTGTCATTAGAATAAACTTGTCAGTAAATTAACTGTTAGTAAATTATACTGTTAGTAAACTGATTATCAATAAAATAAATAGAATCATATTTTTTAATATATAGTTTTTATTTATTATTATTATTATTTTAAATACAATTATAGGAAATTTATAATTTTTTAAATTCTATTTACCAAGTAATATTGATACTTTTATTAGTAAATTATTTGACCTTAGGGTTTTTATTAAATATTTACTACAATTAATAGATCTTTTGAAGAAATTATTAACATCAAAACTTATTATTACAGCTATGTCAATTAAACTAGATAAGTATTAGCAAAAATTAAATTAATTATCCTTTACAATTACACCACTTGATCTAAATATTAAGTTTTTTTTATATGCTTTAGAAAAATAATATAAAATCTAACAATATATAAAAAATCTTTCTTCAAAATATATTATCTCTAATGTCAATTTATTATCTTAAACAGATATCATAAAATTAACTTCATATGATTATTTTAAAAAGAAACTTGAACATCTATTTAATTCTTCCAGTATAACAAATAAATTATTAAATTATTTTATATCATTAAAGATTGATTATAAAGTATTATCATAGTAAAAAACTCAACATTACAAAAATATAACAAAAATGACTTAAGATTACCTGTGCATACAGCTACTAGTGTACCAAGTAAGCAAATATTCTCTGTTACTAAACATATCAAAAATCTCATATATAATTATTTAGATCCAGAAAAAACACAAACAACTCTCTGTCTTAAAAGTTGATATAAATTTGATTTAATTAAAAAGCTTGAATCTTAAAACCTTAAAATTAGCTTAATGTTAATATTTTTTTTTTTTTTTTTTAGCTTTACTTAGCTTAGTGTTAATGTGTTTTTAAAGTTTAGAATATTCAATTGTTTTATTGTTGTAAAGATCTATTATTTTCTAATTTAAAACAAATTAATAAAAAGTTCGAAACAAAGTTTACAACTAAGTTTAAAACTCGAATGTGATCTTCACATGATATTTTTTTAAACTTTTTCGAACTGTTTCTGAACTTGAACTTTTATGAAACAGGACCGAACCGAACTTTTAACATCCCTAGTTATGAGCATGGTTAACCCAATTTTGGTAAAAGATCTTCATAGCCGGGAAGGCATGACCGTGATCGTACGGCGAAGATCACACGGTTACTCAGGGATCACGTGATCCGGGTCTAACAATATCATCTTATGATACAAAATTATAAATTACAAATCAGAACCATAAACGGTAATTTGAAATGATTGTTAGTCCATACTTGTATTCAAATTACTTTTTAACATGTTCTTCATAATTTTTATGTAGATGCATCAAAAAAGTAACTATAAATTTATCGAAAACGCAAGTTTGAAATTCCCTTGTCGTAGACACTATAGGAGAAACCGTTGATGTTACACAACTGATCCTTCACCCGGTGTGCAGCATATAAAAAAATTATTTTACAATACCAGATTATTCCGCTAGTACATGTTATGATTAGAATCCAACATCATTTTTATTATAATAGAACGGTGTTGGATTATAATCATAATATGTACTAGCGGAATGGTCAGGTATTGTAAAATAATTTTTTTATATGTTGTACACCGGGTGAAGGATCAGTTGTGTAACATCGACGGTCTCTCCTGTGCAGTACGTAGACACCCGCTGGCTCTGATCCACGATTCAACATACGGTTAAAACTGAATTAATCACGTGCGTTCTGTTTCGGTTTTGATTTGCTAATAGTCATGAAATCGCTTTACATATACTGCCGACTAATAAGATCAGTATGTAACAGTTAAACAATTATAAATAATAAAACTGCTATAATTTTGAATTTTCTAAATTCTTGTTTAATTTGCTGATTTATTTGCTCCTGGTTTAGTGCAACTACGTTGCGCAGCTACGTGCCTTGTTTGATATGACAAATAGGGTTATTACCACCTAATTACGTTCAATGAGATTCAAGACTTTGTAATTTCATACAATTTAACCCTTGTTTAACTCTCTTTACAAACGATATATTACGCGATTTCATCACTTCGTTCCAGGTAAAGATAAAATAAAGAAATGATCATTTCATGCTGTGTAATAAATAGACATTTGATATCAACACGGGTTTTTTGTTAAATAATTTACGCAAATACAAAGATCAGTATTATTACTTTTGTTGATCTTAAAACGATTTATTTTAGTGAAGTTACACTTAAAACCTAACTGGCTTTGTATTTGCAACTGAAGTGGCGTTTAAATGAAATATTGTTTAACACTGCTTATAGTATTCAATACATGTACCATACCTAAAATTTTTAACAAAGAAAATAGTGTAAAAGTTTTCAAAAACAAAGAAAAAACCCGATTATATAGCATTAATTATTATTATTATTTTTTTTTAAAAAAAAAAAAACTTATAAAGAGGATAAAAAAAAAAAAAAAAAATCAGACTGGCAATATCAATCTAAACATGACAAAAACAAAATTCCTATCGATAAAACCAATAAAATCGAAAAGAAAAAAACAAATTCATTACTTTGAGACTGCAGTCTTTAAAGATAAACTTAGACTTTCGATTGAAAGAAATATTCGAGATTTTATTTCAGATAAAGAGGATTTTAATTTTAACCACACAGTTGAACAACTTTTGGCACCTTGCAAAAAAACTCGAGGAAAACGAGGTAGAATAACACGACCTCAAAATGCATTCATCTTGTATAAAAAAGATTTTAATGACCAAATAAAAAAAGAATATCCTAATGCAACTTTTGCACAAATATCAAAAATTATTGGGGGAAAGTGGGCAAGTGCATTGGATGAAACAAAAAATCGATATATTTTGCTAGCAAAGCTTTGCAGCCGTGTTCATCGTGATATCTTTCCGAATTATAAATTTATGACAAGATTGACAAGAGAAAAAAAAGATTATATTATGCCAAAGGAATCTAAGGAATCTGAAAAAGAATTGCAAAGACCATGGTCACCTTTATCATCTATTATAGTTCCCGAAGAATCTCAGCCGTCCTTAAACGAGCAAACAACTTTGTTCGATCTTGGTATTAATATGCCTCAAGAAAATTATGGAGTAGTAAACGCATTACAAGAGACGCAGCTCATGACTGAATCACACTATTTGGACCCTATGACAGAACTAATTGATATGTTTCAATCGAATAAACAATTCACAACAAATTGTCACAACTATCCAAATTATTTTAACTATGAAACGGAATCAACAGAAATATTACCTTTTGATTTAACTGAAAATGCTTGTGTAGACACAACTTTGCCATTTCGTTTCAGTGAAAATACTAGCATTGATACAACTTTGCCTCTTCATTTTATTCAAAGTACGCCACAAGATTTTAACGACTATCCAGTCGGGACAGTAAACTCTGATTCCTTCCTATTTAATACAACTTTTGATTCTTTTGAATCAACGAATGAACATTTGTATAATATTTTTGATTTAACCGATATTTAACATGTCTAGAATTACTTTATTAAAAGAAATGTATACGTAAATTAGAAAATTTCTATTCATGACTTTAAAAAGTTATATAAGTTATAGCAAATAAACTAAGACACGAAAAAATTTTTTTATTATTAAGTATATAAAATTTCGAGGAATTTCTTAGATTTATTATAATATCTTAAGCGATATGATAACGCAAGCACCTGGTTTAAAATTATGCCTTTAAAATAACAAAAGTTACTCAGTTTTGGAAACCATCGTCTCTATATGATTGCACCCGTTATAGTAATAATAAATATTATGAAACCAATAAATTAAAGAATCTTTGAGAGTTTTCCAAAGGAATATGAAGTTCTTTATGTTATTTGTTAACAAGTTATCCAATTATGTAAAAGTACGACCAAATTAATGATAGTTACAAGATTTCTTACTGCTTAGTGCATTATATTAAGTCAAATGTATATTTTTTTTAGCGTATAAAAACCAATAATCATGTGGACTAGTTTATTTATTTCGCAATGGAATAAATAAGTTTTTTTTTATTATTGAAATTAGGACCAATCAAATTGGTTCATATTTCTAAAAATTTATTTTTAGAATCATGTAACACATTTTCATAATATTATTTTCAAACACTTGGCAAGATGCATCAGTTGAAACTACAATTTTTAAGCGTGATTCATGCGAATTTAGTAATAAGACCATAAAATAAAGAACAGTAGATTCAATTTTTATATTAATTCAAAGATTTAAACTATACTGCATGCATCCGAATCTTGTTTCTAAGGTAAACATAAAAATAACGACTATACGTGCGAATAAATGTGAACGTTTAATAACGATCTACACTTTTTATTAGATATGTTATCAAAATTATATATTCACACTTACACCCATGAACCATGACTATTGTGATTATTCTGATTCTAAATTAATGTAACGCCT